AAAATTATACGACCCACCTACATAGAGTATGTTTGGCTGACATTAATTTATGAAGGACTACATTTTTAAATTGAAAAAATATTTCCTTGGTAAGTATTACGTTCAGTGGTGCTCTGTAGTTTCAAGTTCTGCTCTGCAATACTTAAAGTACTTTACTGTAAATTCAGTCTCGACCTTTCCAAATTATATTCGGTTCCACACACACGGGACACGCGCGCGCGCAGATCCAACGCCAACTGCTCTAATCTCGGCTCGCAAATCGGATGATAAAATATTGAGTTTGATACCCAGCACACTCCGTTTCATTTCCGTCACAGTGACAGCCGGGTGACAGAATCTATTTCGCCGCAAATTCAGCGTGTGATAATCACGCCTCATCAAGGTCTGAATGGCACTTATGAATTAACCACCGTGAAGATTGATTGTTAGAGATGTTCTGCGTGTCAACTACTGTCAATAGTCCCATACGTGTAGTGGATGTTTTGCTCGGAAGGTGGCGGTGGTTTCCGTCGCTGGACGAGACATCCGGCGTCGACCCACCGCCGGATAGCCGAGTTTTCTCCAACCAGGTATCTCCCAAAACGAGGCACTTCCCTTGCCGGGACAAGCTGTAAGCGCCCTACCAGTCTCCCGGCATATCGCATAAGTGTGTTTAAAAAGCGAGGATGGGGCAAGGACGAGGTAGGAAAGATCGCGCGCGATCGGGCCAGTTTGTTAGCATATTGCTTCGCCATTCGCCTGAGGTTGATCGGAGAAACCACGAAAAAATCGATCAGAACCACCTGTCGCTAGAAGTCGCCTACATACAGTGGCTGAACTCGACTTAGCTGTATAGTCCGTCGAAAATCTTGCCACCGATGGGACTTGAACCTAAAACCTATTGATTAGAGAAATTGCAGTGACATCAGTTGATGCTCGGAGCCGTTACTTCCGGTAGAATTTCTGAAAATATTAACCATCATGTTAACACTCTTCATCTCAATCGACGCTCTCGACTTCGTGAAAGACTTTCTTTGCAGGCAAACAGCCGGACGTTTCGTCTATTCGAACAGCTCAAATATTCTGTCAATATTCGGATTATTGCTGCATAAATCAATCAATTCTCTTCGTCCCAATCAATTCCATGTGAGTTCATGGCGTCAATCAAGTCATATCTTCAATCAGTGGTCAACGGCCACAACACAACCGCGCGGGCAAACGCAATTTCAAAGTGCGCTTGAATGAGCGAATGCAACAACGAACAATTACCGCACTACGAAGTGACTGTGATTGCACGCCCTGCATCGCCGGACGCGCACTGACCGCCGCTGCCCCTCAGACAGCGCGCGAGTCGCGCTACAGCTCCGCCAGCAGCGCTGCGCACCTGGACGAGCGTCGCGCCGCCCCCCCCCGTCGCGAACGGGTCTGCTGCCAGGGAACCGACGCAGTGCCGCCATCGGGCAACACGTGTGCAGCGAGCGTAATGAGCCAGTGGTTCGCAGGATTTGGTCGCAGAGAGCAGAAACCATCAGTTGACCGACGTTGGGGAGTATTTTAATCCCATTCTCAGGGCTAATGTATAAAAAACAAGGCATGAAGACATGAGTATGAATAAACAATACACTAATTAGTAATATGGTATGCAAATATGATCTGCTGTAATCATTATTCCCGTAAGAGAAGAGCATACTATTAGCGAGAGAAGGTATTCCCCCTCTTGAAATTAGAAATCCGATGCCGATCTACACGTTGTTGCGTGATTTGGCCTCTCTAGGTATCTACCCTCTCCACCAGATTGTAAGCTCCCACCTCGCCTCCCGAACTGTGTGCTCGTGTAGTGCATGTAAGTGTGCGTTTGTGTGTGTAAGAGGGAAAGGATAAAACAAGTAAGATGAAGGAAAGTTCACGTGTGGTTCGTGTCCCGTGTGTTAGGTTATTAGTACCTCATTCGCTTTGCACTCATCTAAGAAACTACCGAAAACTAATAATGAGAGTAGACAACTATTAGAATTCTCTTGAATACAGAGGTTAAATACAACACAACAATGATGCTGTGTAAAAAGTCTGCCACCGTCAGAGCACGAATCCTAGACCTTGTCGTTCATAAAGCAGTGGTAGCGACTGTTGTCACTTGAGAAAAAAACTTTTCATTCTTAGCCAAACTTTAATTCATATTATCTAGGCTATCCGGGACGAGCCATGTCTTTGTCGTCCGGGCTAACATTTCGGCCAACATGTTGTGGCCTTCCTCAGAGCGTACTTCTGAGAACACTGAGGAATGCAGCAGAACCCTCCGAGGAAGGCCACAACATGTTGCCGAAACGTCAGCCACCTTGACACAGACGCGGCTCGTCCCTGAAGCCTAGACATTACAAACTCAGCCGTAGGCCGCGAATGTCTACGCAATCATGCCTTAGTGTACATTCTGTATGTATGTACGTAGAGAAATATATGTTTCTCGTAAAGTATTCATACATTTTCTCTGAAGATTTAATACACAATTACAGATAAACAAGTAAATTCACGAAAGCACAATGTGCCACGAATCGGACGTTAGACATTGAAGCTCTTCCCGAAATTGCGGCAGATCGCGTCTCATTCTTCTTCTAATTATAAAATTTACGACGGCATCAATCCCAAAAACGAGTGCTATTGCTGCCATTCGCACAGATTTAATCTCGCAAATCCAGGAGTAATTGATGACTGTTCGTGAATGCATTGACACATCCATAAATTAGTCAACAGCCGCTATTATCCGTCGCATCGCAGACGCATCGCTTTCCTCTGCTGGAACAGCCGCCCGTTAATCAAAGAGCGATCGCCCCAGCGAGGCGCGTGGACGTCGCGGCGCGGCGCCGATGGGGCGCCGAACCAAAGCGATCTAACGAACGGAGACACAACACTGACCGGAGGGGCGCTCAGGTTACAAACATTGGAACGAACTATCTCCATTCGAAGGCTGAACGCTGCTGGGAGATACCTGCTTGGGGAAAACTCCGCTAGCCGACGGTAGGACGGCGCCGGGCCTCGGGGGAAGAGCGCCGCCACCTCTCGAGGAAACTGCATTTACGAGAGTAATGACCCTGGTAGTTGACGGGACCGGAATTACTAAAACAATCAGTCAATCTAAGACTGGAATACTGAAGTGTCACGTTTGGCAACTTTAGGGTATGGTTTCGGCATTCGCCTGGCGTTGATCTGAGAATTCAATCGATCAGAGCAGAATTCTCCTCGTGACAGCGACTGACTTCGATCTAGTTGACAAGCTACGTAATTCCTTTCATATAACAAAAGTTCTTCCTTCAGGTCCAATTCCTTATATACATAACTCCTTATATTCACTGTATCCACTTTTCTAAATGTATTACTCCATTTTGTTATTCATAGTTCTGTCCTGAATCAACTCACAAAAAATTGAATCAAAATTTACTTCAAACCTCCACACACGATTTAATTCTTGTTTTTAATAATAGTAATAATAACACTAATATTAACAAAATTATATTAATTGTAATAATATTAATAACTCGTTACTAAATAAAGACGTTCTAAGAGACGCAAGGGAATAAAAACGTAGTGTGTGCCTTGTGCTTTCACATTCTGGTTGATAGCAAAAATCGGTTACAATTTCGCTGGGTCCATTAACATAAAGTAATTATCCAAATATATATAGATTCTATTCTAAATATAAGAGGGAGATGCAGACTGTCACATTTTTGATCTGTCACTGAAACAAATCAATGAATGGCTCCGTGAGAGCACGAGGTTTGGTTGGAAGTTGGAGTTTGGTTGGGAGAGGTATAGAAGATGGTGACATACATAGAAACAATTTACCCAGAACCCGTGCTAAGACGGTGGAATTAGAAACTCCGCCGAAGCTAAACAATTTTGGGCCCAGGGCAATGCTGAATCGTAGCCCCCCCCCCCGAAAAAATTAAAAATGTGTGTTATATTAAGAAACTACGCGTTTTAATTTCAACAAAGAACAAAAATACAATGTTCAAGATAGATAGTTTTTGTAAATATATTTTAATTAATAGTTTTAAGTAAAAATACTTAGTGATCAAATAATACAATTTCCATGGTGATCATAAAACGATTAAAAATCGTGTTTAGTTACTGTTTAATAAAAATTTTTGTTAAACACATGAAATAATAATATGAATTTAAGTGCAACTATTGTAATATTAGCATCATTGATTCATTTCATAAAGTTTTATCTTATAAGAAATGACTATAATTAAATATTTAAGATATAAAATTAATTGAAAATGTTAGGAAATATCAAACTACTGTACCGCGACCTATAAAATTACAATGGACATTTTCTTCAGCTATAAATTATTTTCAATTTTTACTAATATTTGCCCATTAGTCCCTCCCATTGGGCCTTTTGTCTTGCGAGACCCTAGGCGATCACCATGCACAGAATCGGCACCGAAATTATAGATATGACTTCGCCTCGTATTTTAGGATACATGCCTATTTACTTTCTTCAGGATGTGAAAAAATAGAAAGATATCATGAAAAAATAGATGCAATGAGAGCATCTAATAGTTCCTGAAATGTTTTAAAACGATGTACACTTTAATATGTTTGCCTAAAATGCCCAAATAAAGTAATTTTGATGAATTGTCATATTTACTCATTTTTTAAATTTGTTACACCGAAATTAAAATATTTTCCCAAAGCACTCATTTCAGGTGCATCTTTGCTTTTGAAAGATTATTAATGAAACATGTGAAAGAATGAACGAAATGTAAAGAAATAAAAATGAACAAAATAAAAGTCACCTTCTTAAATGTAATAATACTCAACTTTCCTAAAAAATAAAAAGTACCTAATTCAATCCTTTTGTGATGAGTTTTAGGTGTCAGAAACATAACGTTTAATGTCCACTGTTTTCTAACATCCGGTTTAATAATTTTGTAATCTATTTTAAGTGGCTAAAACGTCAGCTTCCATGCCTAGTAGTGGCTAATTTAGAAAATATTTTACTCTGTATGTTCTACTGTAGCTGCTTAGAACTCTAAGGTGTAGCTGCGCTGCGTGTGCTGGCGCGCTCACCCGCGAGTTGTGCGTCCAGTGGATGTTGGACGGAGGCTCCGGGCTGTGCTTGACCACGCACGTGAGGTTGATGGTGCTGCCCTTGTTAATGAACATCTCGGGCTCCCCCATGATGACGGTCACAGGCTCTGGAACAGGCGAAACACGAGGCACTACGTAAGAAATTATTCCTTTTTCACTTTATTACAGGCAATCTCTCCACTTACACATAATTAGAAAACAGACTTAGCGTATAAATAAAAAACACACATTCGTAAATACAAATGTATACATATTCAGACATTATAATAAAAATAACATTACAGATAACACTGTATTCACAATCATTTAACAGGGAGGTCTTTTGATAAATTAATACAGTTTCGAGTAGAGTGCGGGTCGATGTTTAAATCATTCACAAGTTTACACATTCTCGACAATGGTGAATTATGAAATTGGTTTGACTTTGCAAAAGACGTTGTGAAATAAATTTGCCCTTTAACTCGAAGATTTATTGTAGGAACTTTCCATTGTACTTGTGCAAGCAGATACATATAATAAATGTCATTATCTAATAACTTATATAAAAATTTTACTTCCACCATTTTAACTCTTAGACTTTAATGAGCTAACGTTAATCAATGACGCCCTTAAACTGTAATCAAAACTTATTCTTGGTCAGAGCAATCGTACTTTCCATGCTACAAAGTTAAAAAAATGTGTTGTGTACATTCTAATTTTCAAACATACTGGGGATGCATACATCAAAATTGGTTTAAATAAAGAAAAATATAGTTCGGAGAGATCTTCTATTTGAGAAATCAATTGTCATTCGTTTAATGTTTGCGAGTAAACATTATTTTTCGAGATAACTCTATCAATATGGGATGAGAATTTGTTAGGGTGAACGTGGACTGGATTTTTGAAATTGAATATGTTTTCAATAATTTAGACGGTAATAATAATAACGGCTGCCATAACGCAATGATTATAAGTTCATGTTGCTTCGTAAATTGGAAGGTTCTCGGTTCAGAAGCTGGCGGTAGCATATTGACTTAGCGCCGTGGCCACGGCGATCAACTTTGGTTGAAGCTCTGGTTCCTTTTATGCTTCGGGTAGGACCAGAATCGCCTCGACCGCCTCCGGTTTTCCTTCCTCGTTGACCAGCGACACCTTCACTGGATCCAGAGCTTCCTCTGGCGGAACTACCTTTCCCACGCGTCGGTCGCCGCATAACACGCTCGCCATGGGTTTTGCGGTTAGTGATTCCGGGCACGCTAACTGCTAAGGTCGTTATTCCCATATGCGTAGTGTATATTTTGTCGCGGGGGGGGCGGTGATCTTCCTCCGCTGGCTGGCGAGATGCAGCGCCTACCTACCGTCGGCTAGCGGGGTTTTCCTCGACAGGTATCTCCCTTCAGCAGGGCACAACCCTAGCCTCCTCTAAACTCTCGGCATGTGTGTTAGGGTAGTGCACGTAAGTGTGTGTGTAAGGGGTGAGGATAGGACAAGAAAGAGAAAGTAAAAATCGCACGCGGTCCGTGGTCCTTTCGTTAGGGTTCTGCTCCGGCAATCACCTGGTGCTGATCGGAGAAACCACGTAAAACCACCAATCAGAGCAAACGCCCACCAGAATTCTCCTCGAGACTGACTGGATTCGTTTAGTGTAGAAAATCCTGCCACCGACGAGATTCGAACCTAGGGCCTCCCGATCACCGGTATATTAGTTGAGACCCCGAGCCCCGTCCGTTCGCTGTGGGATACGACAGATTCTTAGAGATGAACGCAGAACACTTCTTCCCACAATGCTACTATTTCGGGGAAAGGAATTGGAGAGAAGACGTTTCGCTACTCTATTTTCAGCGATGAAAAAAGCAATTTCAAAGAAAGTTCCTCATCCATAAAGGGTGTAATGAATATTTTTTCCAAAATCAAACCACCACTATCACCTGGAAGTACTACTTCAAAACCAGCATTTTCTAAGTAAATGAGCAAATTTATCAAATGTTTTAATTAAGGCAATTCATAAAATGGCATTTCCACTCAACCTAACATTTAGATTTATGAAAGTATACCGAGCAGTCCAAAGTATTCAGAAAGGAAACACTTTTAAAACAAAATAAAATATATTTCTGATTTTAGTGGCTGATAATATCAATACTTAAAAAAAGCAATTGAAACTAGTTTAATATACCTGTTTATTAATACCAATTTTCCCACACTGTCAATCGAGTTTGAAACTATTTTAACTATAATTACATTTGAAAATATTTATCTTTGGTTATTTATTAACGCCCACTACCATGCTTTTGTACAATATTATTTTGTGATTCTATATACACTTCATTACACTAAGTCTTTGGTCGTTTATCACAAGAAAATTATTTTCAACATAACAACTTGTACATAGTAAGCACATGTAGTAGATACACACTCTCTGGTACGCACAGTACTCTTAAATCTATTTTATTGTGTTATATAAGAAATGTTTTTTTCTATAAAAATGTATTGCACGGGAATTCCTATTCTTAAAACTGCTAGGATTTCTGACAACTGATGCTATATGTATGCAGATAAGAGCTGAGCAAGATTTAATTTATAAACCACACACAGTATACTGTAAAACGTTGGTTTAATACATAAACAAAAATTCAATTTCTGCACTCGAGTCTCTACCGTGAACGTTTCATCTCATATACAGTAGAACACCGCTAACCTGAACCATGCAAATCCGAAATTTCTGATAATGCAAAAAAATTCGGGATGGAGGAAAAATAAACCAAATAAATAAAATGATTATTTGTTGTTTAAATAAAGCATTTTATAATTACCATAGAACTGAATAACTAATTATTGTAATGCAATGGGTCGAAACGGAACATTTATTGCACTGTTGACAACGGTGTATATTACACAGGTTTCTTTGGTAGTAATTTTCACTTACAGAAACGTACAATATCGGTAATCTTCTTTTGCTGTAAGAAACTGAACCTTCTTCATGATGCGATCGCTACGCTACGTAGTGAGTTTCTTTCATTGCATTATCTGGTAATCCTATAGATGTATTTATATACGTACGGTACATTTTTCGGATGATCCGAACATTTCAGTATCCGAACAGAATCAGTTTGGATCAGTTCGGATTACGGATTACTTCTACTGTACCACATCATCTTTAAACAGACCAGCAATGTTCCACAGCGTTTTGAATGGAATCGCCCCCACTGGACGCGAGCCACGATAACAGATCCTCGGGGCAACGCCCTCAATTGCGACGCTCGCAGTAAGAGCGACTTAAGTCTGCTGCACCGTTTTAGGACACGCACCTTCTGACGTTGGCTCTGAAGCGGCTACAATTAACGATAGCGCACGCGAGTGGGCAGAGGGGTCGGCATCCAGGGCCGTGCAATCCTTGTTGCCAGCCACTGCCTCCTTAAGCCTCCGCCCCCGCCATCGTCATCGCCTCCGCCTTCGCCTTCGCCTTCGCTCTTGCCCCCTCACCTTCCCGTAGCTCTCACACTTCTCACCCTCTCCCTCGCCTTCACTCTCTCTCTTGCTCTCGTCTTCGCCTCCTTTGCCTCCGTCAAAACTTTCGTCTTCCCCATCACCATTACCTCCGCCTCCACCTCCGCAGAAACTTCGCCTTCGCCAGCGATTCCCTTGATCCCCCTTCGACTCAGCTTTAGCACCCGTCTTCCCTCTCTTCTCCACCATCGCCTCAACGTCCGCCTTCCCACTCATCTTCGCCTTCGCGTCCGTCTCCGCTCTTCGCCTCCACCATTCCCTTCACGTGCCCTTTTGTCTTCTCGTTCGCCATCAGACCCGCCTCCCCCTTAACTTCCACCACCTTTGTCTTAACCTGCGCCTTTGCATTCTTCGCTTCCCCCTCCGCCTTCGTCTTTGCCTCCAACTCTTTCGCACCTTTCCCTCCGCCTACATTTTTCCTTTCCTTTTCGCCTCCGCCATCGCCTTCGCTTTTGCCTCGCCTCAGCCTAGACATTTAGAAAATTACCGATTAAAGCAGCCGGCTGCTAAAATCTCCCCCAGACAGCGACTGAATTAGACGCAAAGCTATAATTTAATGATTTATATTAAACAATATTCTTTATCAATTTCTGAGCAATGTTTGCTCATGTTTTGCAGGAGGATGAGTGATTGGTTGGTGAGCGATAGCGCCTTCATACGTTGTCATATCTCACAATATAACGCCTTGAGGTATTTTCCTCAACGACGTATCTCCCAACATCAGGACACCGCTCCAGGCGGGAAAAAAACTCTAAGTTACTGACCAATCTCCGGGCACGAGTGGTAGTGTAGTGAATGTAAGTAAGTATGTGTGTGTGTGTGTGTAAAGGGGGAGGATAGGACAAAGCATAGATAGGAAAGATCGCGAGCGGTCCGTAGCCCGTTTGTAAGGGTACTGCTCCGGCATTCGCCTGGTGTTGATAGGAGAAACCACGGAAAACTACCAATCAGAGCAGCCGGCCGCTAAACTTCTCCTCCAGTCAGCGACTGAATACAACCTAGCTGACAAGCTGGTATCGAAAACAGGAGGGAGGGGCCATAGAACTTGTGTGTGCGCGTGAGGGCGCGCGCGTGAGACAGTTTGGGGGTTGAAGCGGTGGGCGGGCTCTTGAACGCGTGGTCAGATTAGAGAACGAACGGGTGGTCGTATTTACAAGGAGCTGAGCACTTGGCCGGGCAGGGTGAGACAAGCTATGTGGGTTGGAAAAACAAGCAGGGGAATTGCGTGGATGTTTGTGAATAGAGAGAGAGAGAGAGAATCATTTACTTAAAAGTAAATTAGAAAAGAAGATCAATTTTTTTTGTTTAAATATTTGAAATATCCTATTAAACGTAGAATTTCACGGAATAGACGAAAACAAATATTCTTAGGCGAAAAGAAGCAGCGGGACAGGAAGCACACAACAATGAGAGAACTGGCGATATGTTAGAAAGGAATGGGAGTTCAGAGGAATCGTGTAATGTTTGGGGACTAAAAGCTAGAGTTGGAGTTTGCACGCAGAGCGAAGAAGCGCGCGGGGCACACAATGAACCGCAGGAAAGGCGGTGGCGAGTCGTCCGCGGGAGCGATGCGGGGCGAGGCGGGGCGGGGC